CGTCTCGGAGGCAGCGTCTAATCCTGCCTCACCTCTTCCCACTCGCAGCGCGCCCACACGCCACCTGCGTCTGGACGCACCGTTAGCACGGGGCGCAGCTTGGGGCGCGCCGGTCGGCCCGTTTTTCTGCTTCCACCCCACGTTCGCCGGAATGTGGACGGCCGATTAAACCGCATTGTATATATCGTGTGTCCCCGCACCCCGAACGCGGCGCTGGCATCCCGCGCGACTGTAACGGCGTCGCCCGGAGAGGTCAAATCCCGCGCTGAGCCGGGCCGTCGTCGCCTCTACGGCCGGCGCCGTTTGGAGTCGCTGCACGCACCGGGATATGTTTATGTTTTCCCAGTTAGCGGCGGCGGTAATGGTCCTGAGGTGATTCTTGAAGTGACTGGCCGCTTCTGACTGGGGGCGTCGCGGAGGAAGAAAGTCGCGAGCACGCACAATGTTTTTTTTAGAAGGCAATTGTGGTTTGGTCACCGTGCGTTATGAGTGAGGGCAAGCGACGTCTTCTGGGACAAAGCCCGTGTTCCCACACTTGCAATCCTCTGGCCTGGATGCTCTGTCGACGAGTATGATAAAGCTTGTCCGGAAATAGACATTGGCTTCAGGGTAGACTGTGAACTGCTTCAGACACGTATGTTGCTTGACATCCAGGGGTGTAGGTTCCTATTCAGTTTGGGGGGGAGGGGGTCAGCTTCAGCCCCCAACTTGGGGTTCAGGCCACCCAACTTTGGGAATGAAGTAGACAAAGCCGAGGAGAAACCTGTTTTTACATATTTTTTGGCAGGTTGGGCTATTTCTCAATGTTTAACCCCTCCCCCACTCGTTTTGCGAAACTAAGCCCCTGTTTGACACCAAGGTGATAGTGCTTCCCATCATTGCTAGGTTCTGAATATCTAAATGACCGGCATTTTATTTTGGTGCTGAATGCATTTATGACAGCAAATGCTTTGAGCGATTGTTGGCGAGGCTAGATTCGGTGGTGAACGCTATATGTTGCCGGAAAATATGGCCCTGGAGCGTGAGAGACGCCGAACTGAGTCTCGGGTGGAGGCGCGGTCCGTCCCCGCCCCTCGCCCCCTGCGACCCCGCAAGGCCGCACTTCTCCCCCGCTGTACGACGGCCGACTCGAGAGAGTTCTGGCCGAGCTCCGGGCTGGTCTGCCCGTTAGCGAGCCCAGCACCGCCGCGAACGGCATTATTAGGAAATTTACAGCAGCCCACTGCGTGCCCCGACCAATATTGGGCGTCGTTATCCCTTATTAACCGGCCGGATTTGAGAAGTTGGGCCGGGATTGTCGGCCAAGTTAGCCTTTGTGACGAACTTGTCGCCTGATGATGCGGCGTGTGGGGCTGGCAGCCACCGCGGCGCCCCGGGCCGCGCCGCGCGTCCGTCTCCACCGCGCCGAATGCGCCGCCGTTTTCGTCATCGTTTGCTAGCGGGCGGGTCCGCTGCTGGTTCAGCGGCCCGCGCGCGCCGCTAATGGCGGCAGACGCCGCAATCATCTCGAATTTCCCCATGCGAATTTTAGCGGCGGCGGCGGCGCGGACGACGCGGCCGGAATTCGCCGCCGGCGAGGGTAGCGTGCGCGGCGCGGCAGGGTGGGCACGTGCGGGACGCTCGTCGGGCGGGTATTCTGGAGCCGGCCGCGGCTGGCTGGCGCTGACGACGGCTGCTGCGTCTGGGCCGGGGCCGTGCGCTCTGTCTGTTGAAAGGGTGAACCATCTGTGGTCAGCACCCTGGCCATGGTCTATAAAAAGGTCTGGCTGAGAATTGGCTGGGCATTTAAGTTAAGCTAGGTGTGTTGGTTAAGCGGGATGCGATTAGCCACGAACCAGAGGCTGAAGCCGAACTTGGACGAGTACGGCACTTTGGCAGCGGGCATGGGGAGGACAGCATCGCGGCCTGTTTGATGACTAAGCAAGCTCTCTGTCTCCAAGGAAGATAGATAATCTGCGCTTATGAGTCTGTGATGTAGGATACGAACCTCTCCGTGCTGCCTTCCAGCCCGCCCAGGGTCGGCTTTAATTGGCGAAGGCCCGGGCCTGTGGGTCACGGCCTCCCACGTGACGTCGGCCTCTTGGCATTAACTACATGCAGTGCATGGTAAGAGCTGATCTTAACATGCAGCTTTCGGTTCCTCCACACGTCTAGTTTGTCTCATTTGTGTCATTTCCTATCTGTAGTATTTGCACAGCCACATGGTGGCTATGCCTCTGCAAATGGGCAAAGGTTGTGAGTCAGAGTTGTGGGCGTCAGGGGAGGCAATACCGAGAAATCTGGCGTGACGCAGCTGTCACAGCTGACGTCTCTTAACGGCGAAATTACAAAGTAAGGCTAATTTCAATAAACGTTGGGGGAGGACGCTGGCGCACCTGCCATACTACAAGGCGGTGTCTTCTGCATATCCATGCTCATGACCACTGCCGTGCGCTTCTCCACGCCCATGCCATGTCCGTGCCCATGCCCATGCTCATACCTATGTACGCACTCATGCTCTACCATACCCATACCCCTTACCATGCTCATACCCACCCATGTTATACCCATACCCATACTTTACCGATGACCTTGCCATACCCATGTCATACCCATGCCCATATCGTACCCATGTCCATATCGCACCCATACCCATGTCTTACCCATACCCATAGCATACCCACACCTATGCTGATGTCATATCATACCCCGTCACCTAATGTCGGGCACAGCTGATGTGGACATACCGACGAGGGCTGGAGGCGCATGGATTCGCGTTAGGGGGGGGGGGGGGGGTAGTGGGAGACGCCTAAGTTGAACCGTAGGAGTCTAGTTCCAGGTGAGAAATTGGTGACCAGGTTCAAGGGCAGGACAGTATAGGGTCAAGGTCAAGGTCAAGGAGTCGGGCAGGTGAGACATTGGTGACCAGGGTCAAGAACCTCACGTGGCTACAAAATGTCAGGGGATGTGCTTGGAGCTTCTGAAAGAGACAACCCCGCGAGGACAGAGGCAGTGAACTTGAGAAGTTATCTGACATTTCCAGCAGACCGGGGACCCTAGAGGCGTGGGCAGTGTCAGAGGAGACCCACTGAAGGGAGAAGTGGATAGAGTAACAGGGGAGACCCACTGCGGGGAGACGTGGGCAGAGCCGGACGAAGCGGCAGAATTGGGGCACCGAGCAAAAACTGCGGCCGGACAGGCGCCGCCAGATGGCCTTCATTGGGAGCGAGCCCACGCGCCGGAGGTGGCCTGTGATGCGGGGCCGCGGCGTGGGCTGAGGCGCGGCGTCTAGCTCTGCCACGGACTGAACATCCCAGACTGTGGTCGGGGCTGGAGGTAATGTCGCACAGGCCCAGCAACTTGAGAGGTGGACGTGCGCGTTAGAACGGGTCGGTATATGATCAAATTAGCCAGCTGTATGTAGCTGCAATGTCATGAATCAGGGTTGATGTACTCCCTAGCACACACCGACAGAAACTGGGCCGGCATGCAGGCCGTTACGTTGTGAGACTTCTCGAGCCTGTGGTCCTGCTGTTGTTCAAGCCGTAGGCCCCGGCGAAGTTCCGGCACTACGTTCGCATACATATCAGTTGTCTGGACCCCATGGTATTCATTAGCGAGGCTGGCCCTTTTCCTCCCTTCGCACCACATGCACCTCCTGTCCTCCCAGTTCACCTCTTTGGACTGCTCCGATTCGCCCCGCTTCTCCCAGTTTGCCCAACTGCTCCGTTTCTTTACACTGGTTCTCCAATTCTCCCCTGCGGTCTGCTGCTGCGTTCGGTCTCCCGCCCCCTCCCCCACCATCCCCACTTCGCCGGAGTAGCTCCATCTTTAGCTCCAGCTCCAGCTCCAGATCCAGCTCCAGCGCCAGCTCCAGCCCCAGCCCCAGGTCCAGCCCCAGCTCCAGGTCCAGGTCCAGCTCCAGCTCCAGCTCCAGCTCCAGCTCCAGCTCCAGCCCCAGCTCCAGCTACAGCTCCAACGCGCCCCACCGTCAGCTCTCCTCAGCCTGTCTGCAGCATTGCCCACCATCCCCAGATGCTGCCCGTTGCGACCGTATCCAATTCACGTTGTGTCCAGTGCCCCGGCGTCCCCTGCTTGCATCGACCCACTTGTCCGTCTGGCTCCTCCCAATCCGCTCTTGTCCAGGTCCTCTCGGTCCGCTCTCGTCCAGCTCCCCCCGGTCCGCTCTTGTCCAGCTCCTCCCGGTCCGCTCTCGTCCAGCTCATCTAGGCGAGTCGAACGTCACCATCCGCGGGATGCCGCGACCGCCACCAGATGTCGCGTCCCGGCCCGACGGAAATCCATAAAACCGGCGGATGGCTTCGCGCCCAAACCCCGGCCGTGTCGTCCAACGCCGCGCCGTTTCGGGGTTGGGGGTGGGGCGGTACCGGTGTCTTTGTACGCCCTGCGGTGCGGCCCCGTCTCTCCCGCCCTCCGCATTCACGGCGAGTGTCGACGCGGACGTTTATCTGCCGTGAAAGCGTCGTTAGCGGTCTGAATGGCCGGCCCGCCTCCCTGAGGGGGTGAGAGAGACGGCGAGGAGGCTGCCGGGTGGGGAGAAGGGCGAAGAGGGGGGGGGGGGGGGTACGTGCCGTGGTCAGAGCGTGGCGGTGAGCTAACGCAGCACACCTCAACGTGCGGTGCCACGGGGACCACTGTCCCGATGTGCGGCCATTGTGCGTCGGCCCGATCGATGCCTTGTTTCCTGAATAGGCCTTGTCCGGAGGATCCGCGCATCGCTGCGACTGTTGGAACATCGCATTGTGGCGCTCCATTATGCGTGGTATCTAGTCCGATTCCTGAGCGTTCTTTGCCCCTTCCCGAACCCCATTCCATTCCATGCCTTCCTGTGCCGCGCCGGCGAATTATGTCATTCCCCGCAGCCGAATGAAGTGATTTTGCATTGATTTGGGATTTGCACGACTGCGTCGGATTAGCGGCGCGTCATATGAGGGCAGCGCGCCGCTGCGTGGCTTTCTTCGTGCGCGGCGGCAGGGTGACACCGTTCTCTGCTGTTTCAGAAGCTGAGCTGGGCCTCGAACGCCTCAACAGTGGAGCTGTGTCGTCTGAAAGGGAAGCCGGTGGTGAGTGCTCAATAAACACGCCGCCGGCTGCAGCCATTTCCACGACGCCCTCGAGGCCATCCCGCTTGTCTTCGGTTACGGCGTTCACACTGCGGCCTGAGGTTGGGCCAATGGAACGGGGAGGCTCAATACACGGAGTGTCCCGCGCCCGGGGCGAGCGGGTGTTGTTACTGTCCGGCTGTGTACAGCTTAGAAATGATTATCTTAGCGACGACCTCAAAATAAGTCTGCTTATATCTGACTCCACCGACCTCGAATGTGGGTCAGATGGGCGACGTTGATCCAATCTGTTTAATCCAGGACATTTGCCACGAGCGTGACAAGCTGTTTTTCGCTAGTCGTTGGGTATTTAAAGTCAGCGGCAGCGTTTTTAGCGAAACATACACAACTGGCACCACGGTGCTGAGCAGAGTCTACTGCGTACTAGGCAGAGGCCTACTGCTTAGACCACGTCGCGCCATGGCCCTCCGGCGCCAGGGCTCATCCAGACCAGGTGTCCCGCGCTCCACACGTCTGCTGAATGACTGCTGCTGCTGCGCCGCGCGCCTGCTGAATGACTGCTGCTGCTGCGCCGCGCGCCTGCTGAACGGCTGCTGCGCGCGAGGAGGACCGTTGCGTGCCGCTCCTGGCGGCGGGCAGCGCGCATACTTTACTGGCGCGCGGCGGCAATTTCTCGCGGGACGTGGTGCGTCGACCCCAGCCAAGATTGCATCTCCATCATCGCTCCGACCGGGCGCCCCGATTACGCGTAATCATTTCGGCGGTCGAGGACGTTTAAGTGGGAGAGGGAGGGGGATTGGGCAGCGATGGCGAACCGCACGAGCGGGGGCGGACGGGCGCGCGTGTCGGACAACACTTGTCGTCTCTGGCGTGCTGTAACCACCACGACGCGGCTGCACCGTCCGTTCGGGACCAGGAAGTTCTCGCGTGCATGCGCACATGCGTGCACCGGCACGCAGGCGCTCATACGTGCCTCTGCTCTTGCTCGCGTGTGTGAGCGATCGAGCGTCCTCATGTAGGGTGCGTGGGTGTGCGTATTGTATTGCGTCTGTGGATCCGCGTGGTCGGCAGTAAGCAATTGGCTGATTCAGGATGAAGGGAGGGCAGGTGGAATTGGTCGACAACCCACGTTTCTCGAAAGTCGTGGCCCTACTTTTTTAAACAAACACCATTTTTTGTGGTTTTGTCAGTTATGAAATAGCCTGAGCAGCGTTATTGTCATAGCCATGAAATTTTGCCCCAAGGAATGCATGCTTGTGTGATAGCGATCTTTGTTTAGCTTCTGTAATATCTCAGCACATGATCTTTCAAAGCCCAAACAAAATTAGAGGGTGGAGGCTGGGGCAAATCAACATGGGGGCATGGCCCGTATTTAAAATCGACTCGCCCCTGCTTTTCTCCATCATCTGACAGCACCTCGGAGAACAGACGCTTCTATGTTGACACATGTCCATCTGTTGACAACCGCCCCATGTTGACAGCCGTCCCCCTGTTGACAGGTGGAGTGCCAAAACTACATCCGCGTGCTGGTGCGCAAGGCTGACGGCGGCCTGTTCGTCTGCGGCACGAACGCCTTCAGCCCCAAGTGTCGCCACTACCGAGTCACGGTAATTAGCCGATGGTATCGGCGCGCGCGCGCCCCAGCATCGGCCGATCTCGCGGGCCGGGGCGCCGCCGGGCCTGGCTCGCCGCCAGGATCGGCGCGCGCGCCCTCAGCTGGGGACCACGTGCGCTGAGGGCGGCAACGCAGTGGAGTGGTGCGGCACGCCGTTACGGTGCGCTACGCTACGAGTGCTCTGATTTATAGCATGTGTCACAACGGTGCCGTGACTCGTGTCTTGCGTTATCGCTGTCCGCTGGCACCACCGTACTATACATTTGCGGTGCTGCGACCTGGCGGCAGCCGCTGGCACTAGGTCTCTGCACTCCTGTCACCTAGCGGTAGACTTTGAAACCCGATCATAATCCTCTCCGTCTTCACCGCCTTCGCCGACCGGCATGTGGCGGCCATTCACTGGCCACCTAGCGGCAGCTATTGACACTTAACTTCAGGCATAGATCCTGCCATCTAGCGGCTGTAGGATGTACTAGATGGCATTGGCTGGCCCCGCCGCAGCCAGGTAAAACGTATGGTGCGAGCATAGCCGCAGCCAAGGGGAGGGGTTCCGAACCCCGTCCCCCCTAATTCAAAAGCTTTACGCAGGCTTTTCAGACTCTTGATTGTGGCACTGGCATATCACAGAAAAAGTAATGTAAACCCGCGCTTATCTCCTGAAGATCAGGCAAAAAATGTGTCATATTGGTTTAAACTGGGAACCCCAACAGCGTCGCTAGATGCGGCAATATCTGATTCTATGCATATGAGGACCTACCTCAAATAATTGGCACGAGTTTTGTAGCATGCACACAGTAGTGGCATGGACGTCAAAAGACATTTGTGGTTTCCAAACATTTCTAGCATTTTAACTTTTTCGATGGCCTGTTTTCATGGTGTCGAGCTTTAGCAGGATTTAATTCTCTGTTAACGCTGCACAGCTGTGGTTACATGTTTGCCTTAGTCGTGCAAAAATACTATTAAGATATAAGTTACAAATTTGCGGTCAACGTGTATGGGGAACGATCAAGGTAATGGGCCTCCTCCCCTGATAAAAAGCCTTGATTGTGCGCCTACTTGAGGTTGCAGGATTGGTCCTGGTCCCAGGCAGTGAACTCGAGCCCAGACAGACCAGTTTCCGGCTCAGCCCTGCTCACTGGTTGGTTGGTTGGTTGCTGGTTGATGGCAGTGTGAAGCCGCTGGTGAGGCACGGCTCGTGCCTTTGGTCGCCTCTTGGCCGGGCCGTGGTTTGGGGCCGCCTGTGGGCCGGGCCGCGGTGTGGGGCCGCCTGTGGGCCGGGCCGTGGTTTGGGGCCGCCTGTGGGCCGGGCCGTAGTACTGGGCCGCCTGTGGGCCGAGCCGTGGTGTAGGGCCGCCTGTGGGCCGAGCCGTGGCGTGGGGTCGCTGCTGGACCGGGCCGTGGTACTGGGCCGTCTGTGGGCCGGGCCGTGGTGTAGGGCCGCCTGTGGGCCGAGCCGTGGTCGTGGTCCTCTGGCTGGCCCGTGGCCCTTTGTTACGGGGCCGTCTGTGGGCCGAGCCGTGGTGGCCGCCTGTGGGCCGACCGTGGCGTGGGTCGCTGCTGGACCGGCCGTAGTTACTGGGTCTGTCGTGTGCCGGCCGTGTTATGGGGTTGCCGCTGGGCCTGGCCGTGGTGCGGGGCCGCCGCTGGGCTATGCCATAGCGTGGTGCCGCCGGCCACTCGGTGGTGTACCGTGCCGGGTGCGCCGACATCGGCCAGCGTAACTCACCCCGCGCTGCTCCACATGCCGACGCCGCACGTGGCACCAGCGTGTACCTTTGCAGCCCCGCCTAACGCCGCCGGCCCCATTTTCCTCCGCTGTCGGCTGAAGGTGATGACCTTCAGAATCCAAAGGCAGCTCAGCCGGGCTCTTTATTTTCCACAGCCGTCCTCTGCAACGGGACAGCCGTTGTATTTGCTAGCAGCCTGCCACCATTGCACTGCCCACGTCGGCTGTTGACACGCAGCGTAAAGCCGTGTCTAGCGTTTGCTTTGGGGGTTACACCCCAATAACGACCGCGGAATGGCTTGAACTTCTCTCTATCGACCGTAAACATCGGCGTAATTGACCCCCGCTATTGGTTGTGGTTGCCATCGGACTCCGCCGGAATTTCTGGTCCCAGGAGAGGTAAAACTCGTCCTTTCTGGAGTGGTGGATCGAACTTGTTCAGTTTGGGATATTGTGTGCTGTTCCGGTTAGGGGCGTCGTGTGGTTGTGGGAAATAACCATTGCAAGTGGGATATTTTGAGCCGCGATGAAATGTCCGGCAATTTGTACATCAAGCAAGGGGCATCGCATTGGTAAATATTCTGCAGTCTGAAATGGCCGATTCCGGTGCAGCCTTTGACCGGACTGCTAGCTAGCTTTGATTCGCACCCTTGGAACAGGCACATGTCCCGGCCACATTTTGCCCGTCGACATATACTGCCCGGGAACGGCTTCCGGACCGCGGATGGTTCTGAATTATAAATCACACAAGCCGCGATATGGAGATGATACTGGATTGCGCCCTAGGCGGAGGCATTGTGCCGAGTTCTATGGGTGAGCAGCGTTGAATGCATAGTGTGCACTTCCACCTTCTGGTGGCAGCCTGCTTGAACGCCAGGCTCATTCGGCGAGCGCCCGGGCCTCCCGAATCACCATCCATAAACGTCACATTGGGCATCCGGCGTCCGTCCATTTCTCTGGACCGAAATAATCTCAACGGGTTCGGGCGGCGTTTCAATCAAATGACTGGAAGCCGGGCGGCGGCGAGGCGCGGATTTGGCGTACAGTCGGGTGCAGGGTGAAGGCCGGCTGTCGTTGGGGAATCGGCTTAGCGGTGCAGCGAAGGGGAAGGGGATGTGGAGGAGCCGCCTGGTGAAGGGCGAGGGGACCCGACAGCAGGGGGATAAGAATCGGGCGAATGCAGGGGGCTGTGAGAAAGTCGAGATGAAGATACCAGGGTGAAGTTTGATGTTGGATACCATCCGTGAGGGAGGGGGGGGGGGGGGGGAGACGAGCATATGTTGAGATGGACGGATGGGAAGAGAGACCACGCCCGTTAGTGGAGGTGCGTGAGTGGACAAACTTTCCTTCGCTTGACGCAAGCAAAGTACTGGCAACGGTATACGATTGCACCTACGATTGAAAAGTTGTGTACGTGCTGGTGCATTTCGCTACTGTACTGACCTGATCTGATTCCTGTGCCATACCCGCGCTGCACATACCCTCCCCTCCCCCGCCTGCACTGTTGCTATGGACCTCCCTGCGTTGCATGCACCTTTGCGTTCCCCTGTGCTGTACCTCGGCCCTCCGTGCCGCACCTCCGCCCTCCCGCACTGTACTCCCGCCCTCCCAGGCGCCACCGAGCCGCCCTCCCGCACTGTACCCTCGCCCTCCCAGTCGCCACCGAGCCGCCCCGGCTTTGCAGGCGTCCCCCGGAGGGGCGTGGGCGGGCGGCGGGTCAGTAAACTCTTGACTGCCCCGCTGGGAGTCGACCCGGCCGTAACGCCCGGGGCCACGCCTGTTTAGCGGCGCTGTATTTATTGGCGGGCGGCGGGCCGGGCCCCTGGTGCGCCGCGACTCGAGGCGCCGGGCAGAGCTGGCAGCGCGGCCCGCAGCCCCCTGAGACCTCCGAGGCGAGCCACGTGGTCGGTCGGGGACTACTGGCCAGCGGAGAAAGATAGTTCAGTGCTAACTGTTGGCTGGCGGCGAGGCCTGAGAGAACGCTTCCTCGCTGATCGGGTGGTATAGGTTGAAATGAGAGCTCAGCCTCGCTCAGCCTCGCTCAGCCTCGCTGACGGGGTAGTTAATGGCCGCAGGCGGAAGGACAGGGGGACCGAGTGAGCCGCCGGGCACGGCCCACCTCGGGAAAGCTTAACGTCTGCCCCTTAGCGGTGCATGGATATTGATTTAGAAAGAGGTTTGGCCCACTTTAATTACGGTGTGCCGGAGCTCCAGGCTATAACATCAGCCTGAATTGACCGACGGCGCTTTTGAAAGTAAGGCCGCCAAACAAATGACAGAATTTGTTACTTGTGTGGATAGCCCTTGATTAATGTGGTCGTAAAACTGTAAGAATGATATAGTTTAACTATTGAATCATCGCGAATGAGTGTGTTTTTTGTCCACCTTTTGCCTCTTTCAAGGGTGTATGCGATAAACGTTACATACGCGGAAAATACAAGGCTTTAGACCAAGGCAAAGCTGAAAAATGTTGTTCTTCGCCGCACCAAGCAATAATCAGAGCGGCTCAGAGAGCCGATAGCATGTCAAAGGGAAGCTGCTGTTCGCCCCGCAAACAATAAGTCCCGTTGGAGCACCTCTATTTTGAGCTGGCTCGCCGGGCAGGACAGTCCGCGAAGAGCCGCCGACCGGGCCTTATTACCCCCTCCCTGCCGGCTTTATAAAGTGCTCCATATACTGCGACAGTGGCGCGGCCAATGGCCCGTCGGGAATTAATTGGCCATTTATTCGGGCTTATGATGGCGCCCGTCGTGTCAAGCTGGACAGTCGCCATTGAGCTACGACCTCCATTCCTGTCCGCTGCGCCGTGTCCGGGCGGCTGCCCGAGGCCTCCCGGCCGGCGTGTGCTGCGGCGCAGTCTGCCTCGCGGGGCCGGCCGGCGCCTGCGGGCAATATGAGTCGTATGGCGTCATCGGTACTGCTCGGACGGCGCGAACTGTGGGTCCCCGAGCGTTCAGGCGTATTTGGCAAGGAAGTCAGCCAGAAAGCTGGGCAGAAGCGAATTTTTACGTTTACAGCTGTTTTATGAAAGGACCACGCCATTTGTCCCGAGTGGCAGTCTTGAGTCAACGCACGCTTCGCGATGTCCTGCATTGGCTACGTGCCGGCCGGTGCCCCGGCTGAGTCAGCGGCGAGTCAGCGGCGTGGTTCTGACGGGCCTGACGGTCGGATTGCCGACTGCTGCTGAAGTCGGACCGGGATGAGCGGCTATTAATAAATTGCTGCCGCCAAACATGTCCGGCTTCCCTTCAAGCCGTCGGCCGCTA